AAAATTACCTTTTGAAGAGTCAAAAGGGCCAAATAGTGAAGATTAGCTCAACTATATGTTATAACACACCATTTTGAAGATTTCGCTTCGAACTTTTCGAAAGTTAACTTCTGAAGGGCCAAAAGGGTCAAATAGTCAAGATTAGCTCAACTTTATGTTATGGCACACAATTTTGAAGATTTCGCTTTGAACTTTTCGAAAATTACCTTTTGAAGGATCAAAAGGGCCAAATAGTGAAGATTAGCTCAACTATATGTTATGACACACCATTTCGAAGATTTCGCTTTGAACTTTTCGAAAATTGACTTTTGAAGGGCCAAAAGGGCCAAATAGTGAAGATTAGCTCAACTTTATATTATGACACACCATTTTGAAGATTTTGCTTTCAACTTTTCGAAAATCAACTTTTGAAGGGCCAAAAGGGTCAAATAGTGAAGATTAGCTCAACTGTATGTTATGACACACCATTTTGAATATTTCGCTTTGAACTTTTCGAAAATCAACTTTTGAAGGGTCAAAAGGGCCAAATAGTGAAGATTAGCTCAACTATATGTTATGACACACCATTTTGAAGATTTCGCTTTGAACTTTTCGAAAATTGACTTTTCAAGGGCCAAAAGGGCCAAATAGTGAAGATTAGTTCAACTATATGCTATGACACACCATTTGGAAGATTTCGCTTTGAACTTTTCGAAAATCAACTTTTGAAGAGCCAAAACGGCCAAATAGTGAAGATTAGTTCAACTATATGCTATGACACCATTTGGAAGATTTCGCTTTGAACTTTTCGAAAATCAACTTTTGAAGAGCCAAAAGGGCCAAATAGTGAAGATTAGTTCAACTATATGCTATGACACACCATTTTGAAGATTTCGCTTCCAACTTTTCGAAAATCAACTTTCGAAGGGCCAAAAGGGCTAAATAGTGGGGATTTATAGGTATCACATGAAAGGTCTCGCAAGTCACAAATTCATTCCAATTCTAATACAGAATGTGTCTGATTTTTTCCATAATATAAGTGAAAGAAAGTAACTATTATCGCTATTGTGAATAACAGATTCATCAATATAATACTGCTTATTTCAAAGTAGAAATCTGGTGATATAGATTTTTCACAATTATGAAGATTCTGCCACTTTCTCGAGTCTCCCACACTTTGATCATGAAAAATAATTCTCAATTTATATACACTCGCATCTTCTGGTCTGCCATCGAAGTGAATAGATGTCCATTGTTCATTATTGTTGGTGACATTTCAGTCCATTCTGAAGGCCAGCTATCATCTTTCACACCATTTTTATCGAAGCAAATGAAAATATTTTTAGCATTATATGGCTGATTTATATACTGTAGCGGAGCGCCCGGCTAAACGCCGCCACTGATCAAAGGGTCGAGGTTCTTCAAATAAATACTAGGGTGGCTAGCTCTTACTGACGAATTTATTTTATTCAATATTCCACAACCTCAAAGGAAATAGAAATAAGTAACATCGCTTCCAGTAGAACTTTTAACAATCAAGAAGAAAAATGATAAACTTTTAGAATATACATTATACAAAACAAATATACAAGTTCCTCGTAGAGAAGCCCCCAGAAACGCAAATGTAAATAAGAAAAAACATGCTCACCTTAAAGGGCAGGTACAACGCACAGCGAAACAAACCCTCAAGCCTTTCAGGGTTGAGGAATACCAAATCACAAAACAACTACAAATAGGCAGAAGATTCAATCGAAAATCCGCGTGAGCTGAAATAAATTTGGCCGAGCAAGTTTATCGCGGACGGGCCTAGTTTTTTCCTAGCGACAAAAAAGAAGCGAGCGCTCGATGAATATAATACATCGTATCGAACACAGCTGTATACAGTATGTTTCGCCGCAATACATTATATCATGTATAATGGTAAAGAGAACCAAACAATTTGAACTCAACACTGCCATTGCTAATGAAGTACTGAGATATTTTCTCAAAGATTATATTGATGTACTCGGTAAATGAAACAATTTTGTTCATTCAAAAAACATTTATTCATAAATAGATTATAATTTGAGGTTATTCAGTTGTACTACGATCGTTTCACTAAAGCCGGCCCTTGGATCGGTCCGTTGTGCTGTCGGGATGAGGTGTTTGTCAACATGGAGATTTTTTATTCCTGTTGTATATTCGTAAATGTGGATTTGTTCTTTAAGAATTTTTAATTTCTGAATATATTCGTTGATCAAATTGGCTATCATATTGACTAGCAATATACAAATGAGAATTTTATTGTGGTAAAAGATTATTTATCCAATTGTGCAAGTCTTTACAGTTTCTGAAACTGCACATGTGCGGATCATTGTTTTCGTGATGCATGCATAGAGGAATGTCGGCCTTGAAAGTCACTGTGTGCATGAATGTATCTAAATTTTCGATGTTGATAATTTTGGGTCTACTAGTTGGTAAACACAATGAAGTGAGGAATTGAAACTTTTGGTGTACTCTCACGTATACAAGGTCATCATCTCTGAGATGATCTTGCAATATTTCATTCATTCTCTCGTAATCTATGAACCCTGAGCTGTATTTGAGTCCATGGTGGTTACGTTCCAACCACCTCACTTGTTTCTTATTCGCTTTCTGGAGTGCACCAAAGGGAATAGCTGGTTTGAATAAGTAGTGACTCAATTGAAAGCCATTTGAAATTGATATTTCCTTGGGGTAGAATTCGTTGGATATCTGGTACCCTTGAATATCGATACTCAACAGCTTCATCTTGCAATGTTCAAGTAATAACTGACACTTCATTAAAGTGGTTCCTCTTAAATAAATATTTTTGTAGTGGGGGTTTTTCACAACTGTTTGACAATTTTGGTGAGAGGACTATAATTCAACAACTTATCATGCAACATGAGACAATACGCTGTTGTATTATCTGGTAATGCTTCAGATGTTTCAAACTCTATTCTCATCACAACAGACCCACTTTGCGTGGACTCTTTTTGATGTGAACAGTCTATGTGTGACATTGGTATGATTTCAGCAAATTCTCTCGGTGAAAATATTGGCTCTTTTCCAGATCCGTAATAAGATAGTCTGAAATTTGTAAACATCGAGTATAGCTGTGAAGTTTTGTTGTCATTGAAACTCAAATATAAGTCATTGTATGGGTATCGATCACTATTCAGGAAGACTCGAATATTTGTCAAGTTACAATGATCAAATTTGCTCATGTCAGACTTCACTTTCCCCCGCTTGTCAGTTTGGAATACAACAGTGACATGGCGTGGAGTTTCCAATTGATTTGTGGTTTTCACTGGCCATGTGTGTCTGGTAGTAGTTAATAATTTCGGGAATTCGATGAGTTCCCAGCTACCGAATGGCATGAGTATTTCCTGGTTTTTCTGAATCATTCTGGTGTATATGAGCTGTTGTGGAATATTTACCAAGACGTGTGGTACCCTCCAGAATAATTTATCTATCTGTATTTTTGGGGTTTCCTTTTCATCAGAACTGTACCCTGAATCTGTATCATCGTTATTACGAATTATTACTAATTCTTGTTTCATATTCACGATGACCTTCTGATAGTCTTCGAAGAATCCCATAATAAAAGACAGAGGAATGTAAACGCTGAAGTTGCCTTCACCATCTTCTAGTATCTTCTCATCTTTGAGCTTGAAATTCAATTTGGGAAACCAACCTGCGTTTTGCAACTCGATGCTCTCGTTTGTGTAGTATGACAAGTAACCTTTTATTGTTGATATCATTCCGACATTCCGAACCGAATCTATAGTAACACCATTTAGTTCATACCTAACTTCTCTGAACAGGAACTTTATAGCATTATTGATGAATCTTAATTTGTCGGTTGTAGTTCCATCGGATTTCGTTAAACGACCTTCGATATAAAGGTAACTTTGACAGGGCAGCGTATACGTGTCTAACTGCTGTATAGATATCCTAATTTCATCATTATATTCGAATTTCTGTGAAAACGGCTGATAAGAATGATACTCTTTTTCTTGAATCGTTTGATCGACCAAAGGTTTCTGATGAATATTGAGAATGTCCATTATACTAGAACTTTCAGGCCAAGAGACTGCAGAAATAGACGATTTGTACGTGTGATTCTCTTGGTATTCTTCTTCACAATGATGAATCTTCTTGTAGTCTTGGCCTCCTTATACCAATTTGGATAAGATATCCTATTGTATCTAACAGTTATTGTTTCTCCTCGAAAATTAACCAGTTTCCCTGCTTGGTCTAGGATTTTGATCGTTATGTTATCAATAGTCCTCACACTGATTTTGAAATAAATGATATTTTCAACTCTCAAGACGATCTTGTATCCAGGGGCAACGACTGGAAAAAACGAGAGCAGTGAGTGAGCTTCTTTTCCATTATGAAAGCTCCCAGTAGCAATATTGCAACATATACTGATTGCATTCACACTAAGAATGTTGACTTTGGTATCTGATGTATGTCGTTCATTTGCTTCTAGCTGCCTGCTGATAGTTCAAAACTATTATTATTGACTAACTTAATTCCTCAATTGTTTTTTTGAAATGACTCGGCCGTTATTTGATGGACATCCATGGCAAATGTAAAAACTTAACGAACGATAAGATTTCCACAAAATTCTCAAACACACGACATGTTTCGCTAACACAGTAGCTGCGTCAGGTGATATACTGGTACGATGAACTAAACTAACCTTGGCTTGCTTATATATCCTACTTTCCCAACCTGAAGGATCAGTTACCTGTGGACAGGTTCGATAAACCTCCATTTTCGGAAATTAGGCACAATAGCTACATTAAAATACGGTGTACCGGATTAACTTGAAAGGGTTGATATCAAATACATATTATTATGATATAAACGTCAAAAATGGTCCGTTGTAATTTCATGCTCCTTCCCCCAAGGAGGAGGAGAAATTTTCCAGAAATATGTTCAGATGCTATGGTAACGATAAAAAACACAGGCTTTTAATTAGTCGAAAATGTTAGGTGTGAAATTTTCAGATAAACATACTGCCTTCGAATGCCGTTCATTCTGGCGAATGTTCCTCCACCCATCCATCAACAAAAGCCCTTGGACACCTGAGGAGAACAAAAAACTACAAGAAATCGTGAAGCGCTTCAAATACCAGAAGTGGGATGAAATAGCGAAGGAACTCGGGACGAATAGATCAGGTCTGACTGCATGTATAAATTATTACAGCAGCTTACACACCACATTCAGAAGGGGCGAGTTCACGTTCGAAGAAGATAGAAAACTCCTCGAGCTGATCAGCAGGTAAAATCGAATTGAAAATAAATAAATAGATGATACTCTCCATGGTCAAAAGATCAAATTGAGTATTGAAAAGGAACATTCTCAGATATATTTATGAACACGAAAAAATGGATATATATTCAAAGAAATACATTGAGAATTCGCATTCTCCATGTGATGAAAATATCAATTCTTTCACGGTTTATTCAACAGAAAACAACTACTTTCCTGGCTATATGCCACGACAAATATTGAATTACATCTATTGAACACACACGATGAGGATTTGAAAACAAAATCTTCTGAGGTAGAGAATTTGCATTCTCCTTTATATAAAGATATGCATATAATATAATTCTGAATATTCAACAGAAAACAACTACTTTCCTGGCTATTTGCCACGTCGAACATTGAATTATATCTGTTGAATATCCAAAAAGAGAGCATGAAAGATCAAAATCCTCTGAAATTGAGAATTAACATCATCTCTCAAATCGAATAGAATAATATGTGTATTATGATATAAAAATATAACTTACCGATACGTTCAGTATTGAAATGAAAATTGAAATGTATAGCAGAAGCATACATGTATGAACTCTGATCTTGATGAGCTTGGATCTTCCAAAAAAATCATTCGTATCAGTGATATGGGAATTATATCTCTCACAAACAGGTTATATGAATTCATTTCTGATATCATATCCTCATCAGTAACCTGAAGTCCAGTTATTCTTTCAGCCATTCTTCATGATTAACACAATCCTCATCTCCCTATAACATAACCAAAACTACAACGAACTGAAATCTGAGAATTATAATTTGTTGACATTAGCATCGGGCATTGGTTTTTCAAATGTATGATAAATTGGCATTCATCATACAGGACGTGGAAAGAAGTTCTGAATTGAGAAAAACCTAATCACGAATCTGCGATTGAGGTCTATAAAAATATCAAGTTTCCATCGTTCAAGTTTGAACCCCCCACCACTTTATTTTTTGGGATGGGACAAAAAGTGTTAGACAAAATAAACTAGGAATTTATCAAAGATTGAACTGCATATATTTTGAGTACACCTTGTTACTGCTAAATACGGAGAAAATTCCAATTTTCTCTTTACTCATAGCCGTTACGCCACCTAGCGGTTATATGTTAGGAACCTAAAAATATTTTCCAGCTTTTTATAGAACTTCTCATACCCAATTTGACTATACATCACAATCGATACGTTATAGTCAAAATTATAAAGAAGAATTTTTTTGGGATCAAGGGCAAAATACGCCTTCAGATTTGAAATTAGATTTCTTCCAGAGTGATATAGATGAAGAATTTTCATTCAGCTGTAACGAGAAATCACTTCCATCAGTTCCAAATGCTGATGTTGAAGCCACTTTGTCACGAGCTTTGTCATGCGTTCTCATGATTATCTCACAAAACGACCAACGCCATAAAACACTTATAGAGATGAACACGTAATACGTGAAGAAAAGTGGTGTGTCCTCCTATCGGCATATGGGGGAATATATCCCCATTATCCCCCCTCCCGTAGGTACGCCACTGCCGCCACATTCATGTTGAAATTGTTCCTTTTCTTGATTTTGTCATGTATGTACTTTACAATATTTATAATCATTAGTTACTAGTTGATTCATTTTTTTGTCTTATGCCGAATGAATAATAAGTTTTGGAATATTTGAATAAGATGTCCTTAGAATGTAGGAAATAAGAAGAATGAATTTCTCTGAGGCTAAGATCAGCCATCCTACGTATTATTCAAAAATTGGTCAAGAGATGTCTAAAATAACAGATTGGAAACTCATGGCAATATCAGGTCGAAATGAACGTGTCTGAATATTTTGAGCACGCTCTATGTGGTCCACTGGACATCTCAAGAGCGAACCGATGTCGAGAAATGATTTCCACTGGCTTGTAAACTTGCTCGATTTTCTTGCTGACTGCACCTCGAAAATCCTATTGAAGTCGATTTTTGAATTCAAATATCCTTCGGATGCATGATATTCTGCGGATGATGTAGAATCAATCAAAATAATTTGCTAATGAAACAGCACTTGTCAAATATTCAAAAACGCACCTGAAATTTCTTTGCAAGGAATAAAATTTGCATCTTGAATAGACGATATCTAAGTAACTCAGGCAAACGGTATCAAAATATCCCTCTTTCTGGCAAAAAAATCAGTAGTCGGTTGTATTATCATACCCCATGTTTTTTGGGACACTGAATCTGAATTTGAGATATTCGCTCAATGAAACAAAGGGAACGATGATGAAACCGACTATTGGATTTTGTGCATCTGTCTGTATTACAAGGTATTTGACTCTATAGTTGATGCGGTTCATAGAAGTGATAAACTTTGATTCTCACATCCCATTGCTCTTTGCTAGAACCGCACTTGATGAAAATTAGGGCCACTTTGCTCGGTGCTAGGGCGCTCTGTAAATCAGCGAGTGGAAATTGCTAATAGAAATAATAAAATATTTGGTACTTCATTATAGTCGTTTGCAATGGTATGATGAAAAATTTATTATTACAGATATAGGTTAGGAGCATACATACCCTGGGTGAAAATAGTGAGACATTTCAAGAATCGGAACAGGTCACAACTCCACCATAGGTACACGTACAGTCTCAGCCAAAGTGATAAGAAGAAAGGTAAATGGACGCAAGCCGAGGATATCGTCTTGATGATTTGTGTGGACAAATTCGGAATGTGCTATAAGAAATGTTCGCAGTATTTGCCACAGCGGTCTATTACACAGTGCAAAGCAAGGTATGCATTTCTCAATATTCATTATCCACTGTTTTCCACACATCAAAGTGTAGCTCACATAAAATGAATAAAATGTCATGGATTATTATGTTCACAGGCTCCAGCCAAATTTTTTTGCAACCAAAGCATTTCCGGATGTTTTTGAGATTTTCTCGTTTCTATAAAATATATACATATATAGATTGGAATAATTGGCTGATAACTTTCTATTTCGAATTATGTTAGTACACAGAATGGAATGATGTCAGAAGATAGCAAATAGATACATAAAATACATAATATGTACATACATATACCGGCGCATAACATCTTAGGAGAAATAATTCAAGTATTCTCTCACGCTATAGGGTTTGATATCTAATAATGTATTTTTCATAATCACAAATAAGTGAAATATTTCTCGCATGGTAACTCATTGAAACACTTTATATACATGTAGGTAGACTATTTAGTTGAGGTCAAACGAAAGACAGGATATAAAATATTCTGATTCCTTGGCATTATAGTTGGGTTCAGAATGGAAATTACATTTCTCCCTGTTTGAAACAAACATGGGACATTCAAAAATGTTCACTGCATATTCATTTGAATACATTTCTACAAGAATCATCGAATTCAATTTCATTCATTATATTAATAGTTCTCATTTGAATGATGAAAGTCTGCTGTATATCAGTATTGCTACCTCAAAATTTAATGCCATATCTAGCGCTCCAGTTTTGAACACATAGTGTTTATATTAACACTAATGGTAAAGTAGTGTCGTCGTAGTAGAACGGTTTAGTTCCAAACAGAAGTGCTTTAGTTTTTTCTGTACAATATATAGCAATACCTTCTAGAATTTCTCGAAATAGGTATCAGGCAAATCGGAACCACTCACTATTGAATTTGTATCGTCAGCATTCTGAGTTATTCGGAAGTTGTTTTCTAATGATATGATATTGATAAAATGGATTCTCATGCTTCCCTGGGGAACACCAATATAAACAGTGCTGATACATTTATCGCTCTTCATAATTTCCACACACTGCTGTGTATTTGAAAGGTATGATCTTATTTAGTTCTTTATATTTCCCCTCACATCGTATTTTTCTGATTTATACAACAATAAATCATGTCATAAGCTTTTAAAAGATCTTGGAATAGTCTTAGGGAAAGTTTTGTTTTATTCAAGTTGTTGATAATTGATTATGAGAAATAAAAAGTAGTAGTCGATGATGAGTTCTCCTCGAGCAAAATTATCTGGAAGAGAAATACCTCTTCATTCGAATTTCCGGGTGAGAGGTACTAGTGGAGGTTCACCATCTGCTAACAAAAGCCTCAAAATAGACCTATGTAACAACCGTGGTCTAAGTAAGAACATCAACGATGTCCATCGACATCTTCGGACTAAAAATCCATCTTGTGAGTTATGAATTAACAGTAAAATACTCAAAGTGAATGGAGCTTTAATCATCTTATAAAACATAAAACAATGTACTAACGATATATCTAAATAATAAATATATCACCAAAGAAACCCATAAGGTAAAGTATACAAAGTGAACATAGTATTAACAACACTCCCACTCTTTGTTCACTTCGGAATAGTTATACTGAGTCGTTCTCGGTTTCTTGAAAATTTCTCCTTTGGTAATGGTTTGGTTAGCTGGTTTTCTGACTCGACGTAGATAACAACGACACTCCTTTCTTCAACATGCTGTCTGATGTAATGGTACTTGACATCGATGTGTTTGGTACGTTTATGAAGATCAGAATTACTCACTAAATTGATAGCACTCTTGTTATCAACAAAGAGTTCCGTTGGTTTTGAAACGTCAAAACCAATTTCTCCCATAAATCTTCCCAGCCACATTACCTTTTGCGTTGCATCGGACGCAGCAATATATTCAGATTCCGTCGTGGATCTTGCAACACACCTTTGACGTTGAGATGTCCATGTAACTGGACTACCAGATAATAAAGTCACGTAGCCCGTCGTGGAATATCTTGTATCAACATCTCCTGCAAAATCGGCATCTGAATACGCTTTCAGCCATTCATTACTCCCACTGTAGAGAATTCCGTGATTTTCAGTTCCTTTCAGATATTTGAAAATACGTTTCACAGCTTCCCAGTGTTGTTTTCCTGGATTTTCAAGATATCTGCTGACTCTGCTTACGGAAAATGATATGTCTGGACGCGTTACTACTGCCAGGAACATGAGGCATCCTACTGCTTCTCTATAGGGTGTAGTATTCATGTTTTCTTTTTCTTCATCATTTTGGGGAGACTGGTCTGCATGAAGAATCACATTTGGATCGGCTGGTACTGCATTCGATTTAGAATCTAACATTCTGAATCTTTCCAAACATCGCTGTATATACCCTCGTTGACTGATGAAAATTTGTTTTCGGCTTCTATCGCGTCGTATTTCCATTCCAACATAGCATTCAACGTTACTTCAAAACATGAAGTCAAGTGGAAGGATGTTAGGAAGGAAACAAATCTGTAGTTCCAACAGCGGGGAGATTGTTTCAAACCATATAAACTTTTCCTTAGTCTGCAAACCTTTGAATTGTCCTCAGATTCGAAGCCCTTGGGTTGATCCATGTAAATTTCTTCATGTAAATCACCGTAAAGGAATGCTGTTTTAACATCAAATTGTTGGATTCCCATATCATTTTTCGCTGCTACTGCTAGTAATATCCTTATTGAGTTTCAGAGTAATCAATACCGGCTACTTGAGAAAACCCCTTTGCGCACAATCACACCTTATAACGTGCGATCGTTTCATCTGGTTTGCACTTCACCTTGAAAACCCATTTGCACCCGACTGGTTTTCTGTTTTGTGGCAAAGGAACCAACTCCCATGTTTAATTTTTCTTCAAACACTCGATTTCTTCTTCCATTGCCTTTTTCCAGCAAGATCTTTCATGACTCGTCACAGCTTCTTCATAAGTTCGAGGTTCATTGATGGCTGCATAGGCAAACTCATATCTGGATGGGCGATTAATTTTTGTACGATCTCGAAGTTGACGACCTTGATTCTGATTTCCATCGATTTGTATCTTCTACGCCATCATCTTGACTGATTTCGTCTTGTATCAGGACCTGTTCTGTTTCAGATGTTGAATCTTCTTGAACTATTCCTGATATTTCTGGCGCTCTGGAGGAACAGGGACCATCGTACAAGCAGACTTCATTGGCATTACTGCTTATGAGTGGACTTTTCAGACACCTTTCGTTGAATACCACATTTCATGCGACAGATATTCTCTTTGTTTTAGGATCAAATAGTCGATAATTTGAACTATTACCGCCATAACCGACAAAAACTAGTTTTCTCGATTTGTTTTGAAATTTGGTTCTCAACTGCTTCGGCACATGGGAAAGAGATTGGCTACCGAATTTCTTCAAGTGACTGAGTTTGAGCTGTTTCCCAGTCCACATTTCGAACGGTGTTTTGTCATTATTTTTCTTGCAGGGTCTTCTGTTGAGAATGTATACCGCTGTATTCACTGCCTCTGCCCATAATGATTTTGGTAAAGAAGTTTCATTCAGCATCGCTCGAGCACTATCAACAATCGATCTCAGGTCCCTTTCGGCTTTGCCATTTTGTTCTGGCGTATATGGTGCACTGGTTTCGTGAATTATACCGGTTTTCTTGAAGTAATCTTCGAAACTATGATTCACATATTCCTTGCCGTTGTCAGTGCGAAGAATTTTGATGTTATTTCCAGTCTGCCGTTCAATAAGCTTCTCAACTTCCAGGAACTTCGAAAAGATGTCGGATTTGTGTTTGATGAAATAGACTTGGCGGTAGGAGGTACACTCATCCTTGAATAAAACGAAATATTCTGCACCAACCAAAGAAGTTGTAGTCATTTTGCCACATACATCAGAATGGATGAACTCGCCTTGCTTGTATTGATGAGGTGTACTCTTACTGAATGATTTTCTCTCTTGTTTCCCATATTGACATGATTCGCAGAAGAGTCCAATAGAATTTTTGATTCTGAGATCAGGAATTTGTCCTCGATCGGCCATTTCCTTCAGTGTTCCAAAGTTCACATGTCCCAAACGCTCGTGCCACAGTTGGATGGGATTTGTTTCAGCTATATTGACTTGATCGATGGTTGGCTTTCGAAAAACGTTTCATAGCAGTGATTGGGTTGTTACATTCCAAGAGCAGATAGATTTTCTCTATAATACACTTTTATGAACTTTCTGTCGAACATGACTTTGAAGTTTTTATCTGTCACTGCACAGTGTTTTCAAGAGAACGTAGTTCCCGACGACCATCGATTACAGCGAAAACTTTGATGCAGCCCACAGCTTCGGCATATACGAAAGAGTTATCGCCAATTTGAATGGGTGTTGGATGAACCAGTGACTTGAGATCAGTAAACCATTCATGATGAAAAGTCATGTGTTTCGAAGCTGCACTGTCTGCAAGCCAAATATTTTCACAACCCTCTTTATTAATGTTCTTTTCTTCTGCACTGAACGCTTGAAATTTCTGCACTTGTTTGTCTTCCTCTGCTTTACTGGCTATTTTCGCCAACCTTTTTCTACATTCTTCTTTTACATGACCTCTCTTCCGGCAATAGCAGCAGAATGGTATTTGCTTCTTCTTGAATTGTGGTTTTTCAGAGGTAGTGCTACTTTGGCGACTAGGACCTGGTTTATTTCTGTTGACAGCAGCGAAGGCTGAAGTCATTTCATCAGCTTGGGTCAGCCGTAACTCTTCTTTCAGTAACCGTACGGTTAGATTGTCGAAGGTTTGCTTATTTTCTTCAAAGGAATCCCATGCTGAAATGAACGGTCCGTACTTTGGTGGCAAACTGCCTAAAATGTGGCTATTCGGTCGATCTTTAACCTCTTCTCCAACATCACAAAGTGCTTGCGCCATCGACTCGATTTTACTGATATGTTGGGCAATACTATCAGTACTAGCCATTTGATGATTGAAGAATTTCTGCTTCAGCGTTACTTTGTTGACTGCAGATCGTTGCTCG